TATTGAAAAATATTAATATTAATGATAGAAATTGAAACATAAATTTTTGGTTCGATTGATGTGAAATATATTCTGCTCAACTCCTGAAAACTGACTTCTTTAAACCAAGGAATTTGAATAAAGTGAATTAATACATAATCTGAGCAGTACTTAGAAACTGAAATAGTGGCCACAATTCAATAGCCATTTTCAGTCTTTCTTCAGCAATGAAACATGCAGCAAAATACATTTCATGAGCCTGACTATGCTACTTTATCTGCTTTAATAATATCTGCTGTTAAATACCTTTAGAGTCCTAAACCACTCATTTCATATTTATATTCATATTATAATTATAATAAAACTATGATCATTCTTATAATTTATTTAATACTACCTGCAAGTGTTTATGCCTCAGATAATACTATGCTTATATACAATTTAATGCAATTTATTGAACACTAAGTGAAAATGTTTATATCCCAGATCATAACACTTGATTATACATAAACACTATGAAATAAGATATATTTTATACTATGTAGATATAAGGACATACTATTATCTCCAATTTATTTACAATATAACAGCAGGTTAGCGCCATTAAGCAGTATACTGGTAAATCTTAGAGCTTTAATTGGAACCTTGTCATGGCCAACTCTGAAAACCAACATTTTTTACCACTGTGTTTTTCAAAAGGATCCAGATGTCCCTTTCCAAGTGCAACAAAATTTAAATCAACTTCTTGGTCCATGTCCTATGTAATAAAACTCAACTAGATGAATGCACAAGTGTAAAACCAAGAAGATCCAGTTAGCATCTCAGCAAACAGAGAGCATCTGTATGTCTGGTCTGCTTTTCCCCAGGGTCTGCCACATCCCTGCAGCAGGTGGGTATGGAAGTGGGAATAAGTGACCTCACACTAGTTTGCATAAAGAAACCACATTCCAAGTGCAATCGCATCTCTATTCTAAGGAATCTTTGTTTTTTGAATGAGTTAAAAACAACATCAAGAATAACCAAATCCCTTTCCCAAATTAAAACGTGTCAAAAATAAGCAAAATTGTTAAATTTTCCCTCCGTCCTTATTCTGGTGCCTTACACAGTTTCCTCAATATATGCTGAACTGCAGTAGAAGAAAAGTAGCTGAAGGAAGAGACAGAAAAGGAATTAGCAAGAGCAAATTGAAAGTTCCCAAGGAGAATACAACTAAGACCTTCAGGTACTTCTGGTTATGAGGGACAAGATAGAAAGATCTGGATGTGAGAAACTATGTTCAGTCAAAAAGTTAGAATTAGGAAGAGGAACTGGAGAAAGAGAATATTAAGTGTTATACTATTGGCATTTTTTTCCTATTAAAATGAAGGGGAAAGCCAGGCGTGGTGGCGCATGCCTGTAGTCCCAGCACTTGGGAGGCAGAGGCAGGCAGATCTCTGTGAGTTCAAGGTCATCCTGTTCTACAAAATGAGTTCCAGGACAGCTGGGGCTACAGGGAGACCCTGCTTCAAAAACACAAAAAACAAAAAACAAAAACAAAAAAAATTTCGGTGATAGCTCAGCATGTAAAGTGCTTGTTCTGGAAGCACAAGGACCTGTTAGATCTTCAGAATCCACATTTTAAAAAAAGCTGAGTGTGGTGCTACACGTTTGTAATCCCAGAGCCAGAGAGGTAGAGAGATGTGGGTCCCTGGGGCTCACTCACCAGCCAGTGTATACTACTTGGCAAATTCCAGGTGGTGAGAGACTCTGTCTCAAAACAAAAAAGAGTTGGAAAAAAATTGTGGAAGATTTTTGGAAGTTGAACTCTGGCCTCCACACACACACACACACACACACACACACACAGGAAATAACACATTGTTCCCATATTGAAATATCTAAACACAATGAGTGCTATCTATACCAAGTAGAGTGAATTATCATTCCAATTATCTGAATTGTATGTATTTGATAAGGTGTGCTCCATTTTACTTACTCTATAATGTAGGCATATTACAGGCTAAATTATTATGCAAGATGTTATTTTCCTAAAAACATGTAGTTAGTAAGTTGCAAAGGAGACTTTGAACTCAGTCAGGCTAAGCCCCAAAATAAACAGTCATCCATCACACTCAGTAATTACAATACACAATATTTTAATTATTCCTTCCCTAGTAAGGCAGTAAATACAATTCTGAAAAATTTAAACCACCATGATATCAATATGTTATCAAGGTTCTTCACAAGTAAAATAAATAATAACTGCCAGAGACCCAGTGCTGAATTAGTGTCAAGGTAGGTACCCATTAGACTCTAGAGGTCTCTGAGCTTACTATTACACAGTCTTGATCTCACTAAAACATGAATTAATTTAATGTAATTACAAGACTGAACACTCCCAGAGTAATGTTTTCTAAACATGGAGTTGCTTTTCTTGACCATGAGTCTAGTAATGAAAATTATAGAAATAACAACAACAAAAAAAAACCAATAACCAATTGCTTTAGAAATGAAAAATCATGTCCTTTCAATGTTATAAAAGCACTAATCAAGAACACAAAGTTTGTATAATTGCTAAACAGACACACACAAACCAAGACTTCTGATGACACTATTTCCAGTGACAGGGTCAGATTATTTACTGAATAGAAGAAATCCAAAAAGAAAAGAAAATTAGACATCCCTACACAAAATTCAGTGACTGTCTCCGTGAGACTCTCAGACAATTGAGAGACCCCCTATATGTCAACTTGACACAATCAAGAATCACCTAGGAAGAGAGTTTTAACTGAGGAATTGTCTTGACCTGGTTGACATCTGGGCATGTCTGTGGGGGCTTGTCATCTTTGTTAATTGATGTGGGAAGACCTGGCCCACAAGGCAAGGCATCCTGAACTGTAAGAGAATGGAGACATCAAGCGGAGCATAAGCAAGCAAGTGTACATGCGTGCTTTCAGTTCTCTCTGCTCGTGGCTGTGGATATGATGTGCCTAACTGCCTTGAGTTCCTGACTTGACTGCCCCACAATGACAGACTATTAACTGGAATTGTGAGCTCAAATAAATTCTTTCTAACCTAAGCTTCTATTTGTCAGGATATTTCATCACAGCCACGGTAATAAAACTAGGATTTCAGTTAACTAACTGCATAGAGCTTCTATTGTTCATTAGCAAAACTACCATGTGAAGAGTAAGAAATTAATTATGAAATCTTTAGATTCCTTTATTTCAAAAATAAATTAAATACTTACATTATTAATAGAAGAGCATACTGGTTTCGGTCCATAAAATCTTTGGGAAAGGACAACTGTAAAGGAAGTTCTTTTAAAGAAAGAGCAAAATATTAAAGATGGAGAGTCATTTAAATGTAAAGCTATAAGATGTAGAGAAACTTGTTCTTGAAGGACTTAGCATGCAGCAAACTTTACCATAGTCGTCAATGTGGAGGGTTTTAATCTCTGACTTTGCTAGCTTCTTCTTCTGGATAGCTTCTTTTAGCACTGAGTTGCTTTCCAAGATAAAATATTCTGCAAACCAGAAAATAACCTTCTGAAGAATGCTCAGTCATCAATGGAACATCTATATCATACCCTTCCCCCAAGGTTCAGGGACCATCAGAGTAGAAGGGCAGAGAGATTGTAATGTCCAGAGGTTGGTGAGGACTAGAGCAAAACAGGGTCTTCTGGATATCACAGGACTGTTACACTCATCAACTCACAACAGCTATGTTTTTCTGCACAAGATCTGCACAAGATTAAGCCAGCCAAGATTCCAGCATGGAGGCCGGGGTTCTCACAAGTTCCTACCCCTAGCTGTGGCTATTACAGGTGTAGGCTGCTGGTAGAAATTAAGTCAGTTTTCTTTGAATACATGGTCTCCGGGAGGTTGACCATGATCTAATGGATGGCTCCACACTGTAATGTATACAGCCTCATGCCCCCCAAAGCACAAATTTGACTCAGTGGGTTATTAAAAAAATGATATGAAGTCTGGGAGGTAGGTTGTGGATCTGGGAGGAGTGACAGGGAGGAGTTATGGGATGAATGTGACCAAAATACATTGTATCCATGTATGAAATTCACAAATAATTAATAAAAATATTATAGTAAAAATATTCTACAAGTCAAATGAGGACATAAAATGAGCTAACTATAGTGCAGTGATCAGGAATCAATCAACATCTGAAAGAAGTATCAAGTTCTGCTACTTCCTAGGCACTGTGCTGGATACTGATGACTCTTTAATTCTGCTAAAACACTGTAACAATCTTTGAGCAGAATTTCCTCATTTCAATGAGTTTTGCTCCATTTGTCCCTATACATCAGAATTAGCATCTACATTTTCAAAATAAAAGTCTCATTATACCAATACTCTGCTTTAGCATATTTAAAAAAATACAAAATCAGCAATAAATCATATACAAGTTGAAACATCTGGATACCAGTACAGAAACTCAGAAGAAATACAAAATTTAGTCAGTAGGAAAAACCCAGAAATGACCTATATGATATCAGTCTCAGATGACAACTTTAAGACAAACATTTAAATTAGTCTGACCAAAAGAAGGAATAAAAAAGGCCAGGGATGTTAGCACATGCCTTTAATCTTTGCATTTGGGAGGCAGAGGCAGGCTGGTTTCTGTGAGATCCAGGCCAGCTGTAGCTACAGGAAGACCCTGTCTCAAAAAGACCAAAAACTAAAAAGAAAAATAAAATAAAAATCTATAATCTGACTGATCAGTGAGCTGGAAAAAGTACAAATGTACAATGTTAGATGTGTGGAATTATACAAAGAAAAATCTGTCATGGGGATTAATGCAATAGTAGAAACAGAGCATTCATAAACTTAAAAATATAATAACAAGCCAGGCTTGGTGGCACACACCTTTAATCCCAGCACTCCAGAGGCAGAGGCAGGCAGATCTCTGTGAGTTCAAGGCCAGCCTGGTCTACATAGTGAGTTCCAGGACAGCTGGGGCT